TTCTCCTTCATGTACTCAATTGTGCAGTTTGTCAGCTCCACAGAAATGCCCATCCCACGATAATTGCTGTCCACTGAGAGGATTTTTCCATCCAGCACGACATCAACGTCCGGATATAAATCGAAGAGATTGAATTTTGTATCAATAAAGTCCATGAGACCCATGATTTTCCGGAATTTCTTGTGTTCACAGCCATCAGCCAGCTTCACGGGCTCCTCACCGTTTTTCTAAGCAGCCCAAAAGAACAAGAAATTGTAATCAAGATGCTGAGAAATTCTTCGCAATGCTCAAACTTACAGGCCTATGAATGAGTCCATTGAGGAAAACTCCAACAATTTCATTCCTGGAATTTACTGCTTTGAAGGAACATTTCTCTTTGATGCACTTTGTTGAGTAAAGCTCCAATTCTTTGCATTCTCCTAAATCCAAATACGTATTCAATGGTTCATCCTGAGAGGGGGAATAATTGGAAAAATGTTAAAATACATTGAATAGAACAAATCGAAGAGATTTTCCTGGAAATAACCGAGCTATCACTACCAATTATTTAATTAAACTCCGTGATTAAGATGGAATTTCTGAGGGTCACTAAACTTTAACACGAATTATGAGACATATTCTGTCTGAATCGTGAGATTCTCACTTTTATGATCTTCTGATGAAAACAATTTCGCATAAATCTACTGAAAATCTTACTTTGAAAAAGAATGTCTTCAAGAGTCTCAGAATCTCTTCGGTATCCTTGTCTGTGACTGGTTCATAGCGGATTTTTGTTGCATTTGCTGATGGAGAAGACATCTTTTGCGTCGCCACTCCAATTCCTCTTCGCAGCGACAGCAAATTGGAAATCTGTGTGAAAGAATTTCGCATTGGAATACAAAATTTTCACTCTGAAGGATTTACTCGTTCGTGCCGCAAAATCCGTTGAAGGAAAATGTTATACATATGTATACTCACCCCATATTCGATGAAATCCTCATTGAATGCCTTCGATTGGGAATTTAATTGGGCTTTTGGCTGAAATTGCACTTCCATGGTTGCCGTGTGTCGATTGGTAGTGATAAGACAGTGTGATAAGGAGAGACAACAACTTCACAATCACATGCAAGGACACACAATAGAGAGCGATTGCTAGACACTCAGATGACGGTGAAGAAGGGTGCTTTAACAAAAGGGGATGGGCAACACACAGGCTAATAATGTAATCTCACTCCGACTGAGAGTTTCCCAACAACTTCTCTTGCGCACGGGCTGAAAGAGCGATGCTGGGTGTCATCCACTTCGGAGGTGTGCGATTGACTTCGATATCAAGAATGAGAAGGTGTGCTGAGTCTTTATATAAGCTGGTTGCATTGCGCCCCGCCACAGCATCGCGTCGGATCTGATATGGGAAGCTGGTCAGTCAGTTTGCATTGTCACAAGATGTAATTCCTCTCCTCCCTTCCGAGCTCTCTGCAGAGCAATCTTATGCTCAAGAGTGGCGCGCTTGCAAGCAATCTAAATTACGCAAAAGCGAATTTATATTCCCTTTTTGTTCTCATGTCATTTGATTTATCGTTTATCGTTCAGGGTCATGATTATTTATTCAACTTTGCCAACAACTTGACTAAACGTTGTCTCCCCCAGATCTTGTGTGGATTGTTTCGATTTTGCCCTCACTCTCTGTGGGATATTCGCTTCTTCTTGTATCCATGTCAAGAGTGCCGACAATGGGTGATAACACACATGTTTCTGCATGAGAAAAGCCTTTGTCATTCACCCCATCGCGCATCCGGAGAACATCGTCACCATTCTCACAAGATCGCAACACCCACAAAAGCCCCAATTAGAATCTTTTTCCCGGCACACAAATCAATCTGCATAACGTATTCGGCGAGCCTATTTTGCATATAGCGTTTATGTGAACATATTAATCATGAGCATTGAATTTACAACAAATCTATCGACATCTTCGCGTGCTGCTGTGGAGGCTGGAGATCGGATGTATACTTTCAAAGTCGTGATTGTCACCATTGCTCAGTATCGATTTCACCTGCTGCACAAGCACACATAATTCCCGGCAAAAGGTGTGGATTTGTACTAAATTCTGCAGTCGTGAATCGTATATTGAGATCAACCTTGCGTATTCTGATAATATACGATGTGTGCTTATCAGACAAAACCTTCGCAGAAGACTCTATTGTCTATTCAGAGACTCAAGAGAAACACACATATTTCACTGTAATTCCAATCAATTCCTTTCTACAACATAAAACTGCAAAATAATCACTAGTTTGATAACACGACTCAATCTGGAGAAAGGCTCGATAGCAGTTTGCATACATTAAAATATGCATTAAGATAACCGGAAAGGGGCTTGTCACGCTCCAGCAATGAGCTTAATTATACAACAATAGCCATTAATGAAACTCCTTCACAATTGCCTTTCAATCAATAAATAATTCACCGCGTGTCAGAAACCAAATTACAACTTAACAATGTAACATTCTAATAGAAAATTCCTTAACTTCTTATTGAGTTAAACTTGAGAGACAAAGTTTCCTTTTTTCCGCTCTTTTCTGTGTGATTTGCAAATCAAATTTATTGTGCACTTTCAAACTTTGGTGAATAAATTCATTTCATATTCATTGCGGTCCAAATAAGATGATGCTAATGAAGAAGTGGCGGAGAATTTAACCCCCTCAACAACAAAAAAATACACACATAATTGGAAAAGCGAGGAGAATAAAAATGATGAAAAGAACGCAATTAAAATCCCGAGACACTTCTGAAGGAAATTCCAAAATGTCACAATGGAGGACATTGACGATGCGTGTAACTTTGAAAATTCAATTTTTTGCTCTTATTTATTGCATTTTCCACATACAATTCCGCTTCCCAATTGGGACACACCATCAGAAAAAAACAAATTACAATATTTTCTCGTGCAAACTCCGCGTGAGTTTCAAGTCTATCAATAAATCTCTCAATCATCCTCCTTGGCTGTTCCGTCGATACATTTCCTCCTCGTGCGGCATTTTCCGTTGCATGCATCGAATATTAAACGAAATTCAATTATATGTGCAGCCAATAAATAATGTCATAAGGAAAATTGATGGGGAAAACCGCAAGATTGAATATTTTCAGCAGTGCAATGAGCAATTTTGGAAAATTGCACAGAATTCGCAAGAATTCACTTCACCAGAAAATATAATTAAAACTTAAGCGCAGCATTGCGGCGAGATGATTTTTATGCCTGATTCAAGGTTGTCTTGTTGCCGGGGATTCCAAATGACTTTCGCTGAGCCTTTGTTGAGCCAATTCTGACATGAACTACTTTGCGATTCGTAAACAATTTCGTCCACTCACGTGATTATTATTATTATATTAATTGTATTGTCGCTCTGGGCTTGTCGCGGATTAGCAAAAAAGTGGGGAAAACATGTAAAAAGTAAGCTGACAAAGAGGGTTTGCAAGATAAAAAGCTCTTCCATGTCAATTAGTACTTTTGGTAACATTTGTTATTAATAGAAATCGCGGTTTAAATACAGTAATAATATTGTTCGATATGAAGTTAAATTGAAACTGAAGTTGTTTAACACACGTGACATCCAAAATTACCTTGCCCTGTTTGCTGTCTTTTTATTTTTATTAACTCCTGCACTGCTAAAACTGTGCAGATAATTGCACTCCAAAACTGATCCATCGGGTCTGCATTTCATACAAATTCCGCGAAGAACGCGAGTTCAGCGTCAGGGTCGCGAGTTGCACTGGCGAGACGACCAGAGTCAAGATCACGGTTGATCGCTGATGGAGTGGCGAAGCGCGAGTGTGAGTGATTGAAAAGCGGTTTTATTGGCAAATTGTGATGCCTTTTCCCGAGCAGCATTGCAAATGCATATTAATCGATATCGTTTACCACTTGTGCACTCTGGGGAAATCCATCATAAAGTCAACATGAGAGTGAAGAGCTTTCGGGCTGAAGAGCGAATCTCGTGTGTCGCCCGTGCGGAGGTGGCAGATGTGCCACAAATGCATATGTAGCTCGTCATGTTGCAGCTATAAATACGAGAGTGTTCATGCGAATTCCACCCATACTCGACCTACCCCACTGCGAGTGGGAGAGAGAGACGGTGGGAAAGCCATCATCCCGGGGCTTCACGTATAGCTTTGAATCTGAGTGGGTGGAATTCCACCCACTTTCGGTGTTTGGCTGCGTCTGTTTTGCCATGATAACTCGTGTGGCTTTAGTTGCCAGGGATGCAAAACTACATGAATGAACTGCGAGGGCATTTTGTGAACTTCCCACTCGAAGTTGGAGATTCATTTTGTGGCTTTTTGTATCTGCACAAAACCCAGAAGTAACCCAGCTTTTCCTCATTATTCCCCAGATTTTATTGATCATATAAAAGACGAGGAAGTTGGCAAAGTTCTTATTTTATTTACAAAATGATCTTGAGAACCTTTTTTCGACCACATTTTTAAGAACTTTCAACGAATTTAATTGACAACTTTACTTATATTATGATTTATTGCCGTCATATTATTAAGAGTTTTGTGGAAAATCATGTAATTACACTGAAACACATGCAGTTTATGTGAGAAGAATTCATTGAAATTTGAATTTTGCTATTTTAGTGTAGTGTGAAGAGGCAACATTATTGCAAGAAATTAATGACAAAGTTTGATTTATGATGATGTAGTGTTGATCATTTACTTAGTCAACTTCCACATTGCGATGAACACATTTGAAGCCAGAACTGAAGGCGCTCAAAGAGCAGTAAATGATATCTACACAACTTTGTGATCACTATTGGGTTAATGCTTTTCCTAAACTGATTTATAGTAACGCTAAGCAAATAATTTAATTTATGGCGGCAAAAGTTGTCCGGGAGAAGAGAAACTCTTGCTAGAATTAATACAAAACTTTCCTCTTTCTCCCTATTCATTCCATTCGCCTTCGCGAGCTCAAGACTCGGGCGGAGATTGTAATTTACGGGAGTACGAGTGAAGGATTGGAGACGGGAAATGCGAAAGGTAGGGGGGAGACGAAAGTTTTTCTTGACCTACATACATTTGCCACGCGTTCTCAGGAATGTAATTGGGCGGTGGAGAATGTGTTCATTTGCCATGAGTGGAGATTTTCATTGGCATCAGTCAATTTGGGGCAGTTTTCCACTGGGGGGAGGATTTCCACTCAAAAGCTCCTTCAATGCGGCATTGAATTGAACTCATCCTTCCGGGCGCCTCACTCCACCCCTGGAAATCTCACCCGGGAAACACTATTCCTTCCTGCTCACTGAGGTAGAGCACTAAAATACAAAGCTCTCCTCTTTTGTACGAATGTCTAAGAAATACATCACGTTCACCTCCTCCTACAAAACCTTCGTCAGGGGGTCAGAAACATGTGGAAATGTATTTTTTTTAACTGCTACAGAGCCAGAAGTATTCTGGTGAACCATGAAGATTTTTGGAAGCTTGAGTTATCGCGTGAGAATATAAGATAAGATCCTTTGGCTCTGAGCTAAAACTAGTTTCAATTGACTGAATTATTATTATCAAATAAGTAAGCGATCAACTCAATTGAGCGAAAATTTTATCCGCAATGAATTTCCTCAATTCAGCGAGAGTCTCTCGCCCCTCGACATTTCCCTGAAGCACACTGGGAATCGGGTTGACTGAGAAGTTTCTCCGTGGTAAGTTTTTCGATATAAACTGACTGTTTGCTTTTCTACGATTTTTTCCTCTCTTCACCCCCACTCGCGCCCCGAGAATCCTCCGACAATCTCCCTCTCTCTCTCTGTGCCGAACGAATTGTTGCAAGGAAACATGGAATATGAGAATGATGATAAGAGGAATCACTCATGGATGTTCTCCTCGGGAAGTCAGATCCTGACGGAGACTAAATCTATGCTGGGTCGCTGGGCGGTGGGTGGCGTTGGGTGGTGATCTGGGGCGGCGGAATGGGGGGAGAAAAGGGCGAAAATCGATTTTATTTTCTGTTACTTCCTAACTGACTCTGCGAGTATTGTTGCTTGAGCCGAAAAGCATTGGTGTCTTCAAGAGGTGGAGGGATGTTTGATAAGCCTTTCAGATGTGGGTGGAAACGCCCGGCCTGGGATTCATGTGGGACTGCACGCGAGGGTGAGTGACATGGGTCTCGGCACACAATGTGAGAATAGCAATTTCGCCAGTGAGTTTGGCTGCGAGTAATGCTTGAGACAATCGCACTTTTTGGGCGGATTTTTCGCATAAATTCCGGATTTGTGATAAATGTTGCTCAGTTATTTAAAGTGATGAAAAATCCGTGATTGAGGGACAATGAGGGTAATCTCACACCTGACTTGATAATAAGATTGATTAATGTTCTTGCGCGCGCGATGCATAAAAAGTTCATCAATCATTTCACATTGACATTCTGCCTCTTGTAAAGCTCAATTACATCCCTTCCATCCCCTTTCATCCTGCAGGGAACTTTATGATTTCTCGTCCTGCCGCCGTCAGAATGTTAATGGATGTAAATTGAATTTATCAGCATTGAATGTGAGGAACGCCACGTCTAATCTTGTTACACTTGCGGGAATTTGCTGGATTGTCTGGCGGGCAAAATTGTGTGAGATAAATCATTTGTGGCACGTGAATTTGCCTATTAGACCTGTCGCACTTTTTCCACCACACAAAAGAGAATTTGAGAGGCATCTCAAATGTTAAGACCGAAGACATTTGAGACGATGCCAAAAGCGAAAATAGACTTCTGTCGCACAAATGTTTGCCCAATAATTTTCCAACTTGCAGAGATTATTGTGTCCATTTCTCATTGCAAAGCCCACGAGCGTGTGTGTGTGTGATGCTCGGAAGGGAAATTTATCAACTTCATCTATATTTCCAACAAAGCGGAAAAACTGGGAATACGTATGGATTACAAGATGAAAAATGATACATTTGGAATTAACAACCCCAAAATACCTATGAAAATGAGTTTGTTTGGGGACATTCAGCGCACCAAATGAAATTGAATCCTGCTCATTAATTCCAGAACGGACGCAATTTTGAGTGGCAGCAGCACAATTCAATTATTCAATTGCCAATTGACTCCTCGCCATTGTGTCCGGAAAGTGTTTCGGCGAGTGAGAGAGAGATAGAATGGGAATGCTGCTTTAATGCCAATTTGCTTCACAGTGTCAATGATGAGGGAGTGAAAAGCGCCCCATTTACACAGTCATGCCAGCTTTTTTTTCCTTTGCCCAGTTGAAATAATATTTCCTCACATGGCATTTGCCCAAGTGGGCCAAGTTTATCAATTCACAATTTACACTCAATCGTCTCCATATGCTTATAAATAGCCGTTCATGAGTGTATTTGCTCGATGTGAATGTTTCTTCTTGCCACAAAAAGCTCCCCTAATTAATCACAACTGATAGTACATGATTTTTTACACGACTTGTAGCTTTCTTATCTGACCGTCACACTGTGGCAGAGTATCATTTTCTCGCGAGCAAAGAGGAGAGAAAGAGAGAAAAGTGCGATAAGCGTATGGAGATTAAAATGGCATCGAACAGTGAAATAAATATGAATTTTATGGAATATAATGACTTAAAAAATCTCACAACACTAGAAACAGAAGAAGAATGAGAAAAATGCACTGTTAAATGAAGAAAAAGCACTTAAATGAACACAGAATCTACCTGTCTTGGGCACAATATCTTTCATTGAGATTTGCACTGCCCGCACTCGAGCCACCAGAAAGACACTTTTTTTCCCTGGAAAAAAATGTCCACTTTCCCTAACCGAAGGGTGGCTAGGGAAAATCTCACCTGATTTTCAGATTAAATTAGCAGCACTGGAGTCAACAAAAACACCCTTGGGTAATTTTTCCTGCACTTCCCGTCACCAGACAGCCCTTCTGCCGCCGGACGCAGTAAATCTCCGCACAGCACAGGAACTGAGAACTGTTAATCCTTCCGGTGGCGCTCGAGCGACGCTCCGAAATGTGTGTCTCTCGCCCCAAACGGCTCGTGTCACACTAGTGGAGAGCTCCACAAAAATCACTTACATTTTCCACTACACACTGCGTGGGCGGAGTTTCCTCAATCTCTGTTATCAGTCGGCGCGCAAAAATCCGCCGCACTCCGCGCGCCCCCGGCGTCTCCCTTGGGAGCTCCTCCGCTCTATCCCGCCACACTTCATTGATTTCCGTGGTGATGCACTTGGGATTGGTAACAAGAGGACTCAACTCAAGAGACTCGAGAAGTCGCCTTCTCGGCCAATTTGCGTCCCCTCTGTCTCAAGCTTTCTGCGCCTCTGACGTTGGATTGAACGTGACAGAGACAGATTTCAGATTTATGCGCTTTATGCTATGTTTCATAAGGATTTATTTATATTTTTCAGTACTTCTCGAATATATTTCTGTGATTGATTGCGATCGGAGAGACTTTCGATTCTTTATATCAAACTTTCCCGGGGCGTTTTACATTGATTTGTATGAGTTAGAAAACATTTTAAGCCCCTTCATCATTTCTTTTTATCTATTGATTTTACGGATTTTCTTCAGTTATTCTTTGGCACCCGTTATCCGAGTTATTAAGACCAAAATGTGGATTGATAATTTCGCTGAATTCTGAAAATTGATTCTCACGCCATCATTTGCGGCTTGTGACGATTTGTCAATGAATGTGAGAGTTATTTTTGTATCGAATCTTCAGTTCAATCGTTTTTTTTTCTTGAGCTGAAAAACACATAAATTTCATAGTAAATAAATGTTGATGTAATATCGACTATTTTTACCATTACACTTGCTTCCGTTTGTCCATTTACTCTATCCTAATTACATTCGGAAAGTAAATAACGTGCCTTTTTTGTTTATTGGCATTTGCTGAGGAATTGAACTTTTTAATTTTGCAAGATCGCCTTGCCGAATATCAAAATCTTGTGAAGCTTTCATGAGCTTTTCCAAATCACCAGCTATATCTGTTTTCGCGCTCAAACTACTTTCAAAGATTCCCAACAGATGGACGGAATTTAATAGGATTCGAAGCTCAACGTGAAGTTTGCTGCGACATTTTCAGATGCCGTACAAATGTGTATTGCTGAGAATTGTCCATGGAGAGTCCCAGGACGTCGACAGCACGGAAAAATCAATTTTCACGGTCGTGGGGCAATGGAAAACATGAAGTAGTGGATCTGTCTCGTGACTGTTTCATCTCGGCATCACTTCTGTGCAATTCACGGAGATTTCACCGTGTTCTGCGGGAAGCATTTCAGTATTTGGGAGTACGGGAAAACCGGTCAACAGTTGGGCGACAAATACTTTAGTGGGACGTGAAGTTTGACAGTGTATTTTGTGAAATGGCCAGTCGTTTCAGAAAATATCGTGGCGAGCAGTTTCAGAGTGAGTTTGGCGTAAAAACTGTGCTGTATTTAGTGGGATAGGTTCAATATCTCAAATCAAAGTTGCTCTACGGTCAATAATGTATTTTGTCTGTTAAATCGATGTGAGCCGGTAACCTTGGTCGTCTCTTTCTATATAATAACTTGCATACATATATAGGGAGGTGGAAAAATATTGCAAAGTGAAGAAATTTTCCACGCTTTTTCTTCCCACCCGACTAAATGTCTCTGTGGTGTCACGAGAAGGAAAAAGTTTACAATTTCACGTTGGATATTGGATTACATTGTATCGCAAATGGAAGTGAAATGTCTGAAAAAGTCTAAAAGTTCTGGGTAAAAATGACCGACAGAGAGAGAGAGAGAGAGAGTGAGATGAGAAGGAAAAAAACTGCACACCAACACGCACACAGTACGGTTGTGTGAAATGCAGCCCCGTCACACGCCCAAGCAGAACACGTCTGGTTGAAAACAAGGCGACTCAGTGTCGTTCAAGAGAGCAAGAGACTCTCAATTTCTCCAAAGACAAGAGGAATCCAAGCGCCTCGCTGTGACATTTCTTCGGGCTCAGCCCATCTCGCGTCCGGATCGCCAGACTGTGTCTGAAGATGCACCAGGTGTCGTAGAGAGACTGCAGATCACTCCAAGGGACGCCCACGAGCGGTCAGAGTCACTTCCCCGTCGCCTCGATGCACATTGAGTGAGCCACCTCCGCAGAAGTGTCACTACCCCCGTGCCAGTTGGCGTCTCTTCCACGCAATCTGCCCCCGATTCGCCGATAAAAGCAGCCCGCGACTGCCTGTGGATCGGCATCAGACGGTGATTCGTGTGCCAGAGTGGCGGATACCCGTGCAAACTGGGGGATTTTTCCACTGGGCGCCCCGGAGAGGAGTGTGAGAAGTGACATTGGACGTCCGGAGAGACATAACCTAACATATTTGCTCAATTGTGTCAACACAGCAAACGCGCAGTGCATCTGTTCTGCTTGCCTCCCTTTCACCCTGTTCTCCACACTGCGCCACACCTTCCGGCGCCGTGGGGCCCGTGCACGGGGCTGCAGAGTCTGATTCAGCAGGAAATTGGAGCCCCGCAAGGGCCTGAAGAAAAACAGTGTCTGTGGGCGAACGTGTGCAGTGTTTTCTTTCTCATCTTTCCTCCGGAAAAGAGATAAAAAAGAGAAATGCGAGTGTCGGCATGAAGTGCATTGATAAAGTGAGTTGTGTGATTGTAAAATCTAGGATTTAGGTGGTCGTGCATCCATTGAGCGAAGCAGGCAAAGAGATAAGCAGTCCCTTGGCCGCGTTGCAGCTGAAGGCGAGGAGAGAAGGAAAGGGATTTGTGGACAGACGACTCAGCAGAGCCCCCATTTCTCTCGCAACTCTTTGCCACTCCGTGTGATATTTTGCCATGCCGGGCAGCCGATCGTCGCGATCCAGCAACAACGAGCCAGACCATCAGAAATCACCGAGTGGCGAAGATTCCGAAGATGAGAGCGAAATCTTAGAGGAGAGTCCGTGCGGACGATGGCTGAAGCGGCGGGAAGAGGTGAGTCTCGTCTCTCGATCCTGTTCAGTTTAGGTCTCTTTGAGTGAGAGTTGTGCAAGTGTTGCGCGAGGCTCTAAATTTACTGGTGCCTCTCCTTATGTATCATCTGCACTTCACACATTTTATTATTAATGCGTGTGACTCGTCGCGGCGAATGTGAAATGATCCATTCATCGGGTGACGCTTCCTCTTGTCTCTTGTGTCCACCTCGCGAAGAAAGCAGCAGCATTCACGCTGTGCTGGTGATTAGTGGATGGGGTGTAAATAAAAATCTGCCACGTTTAATCTGCGACTGTGTATGTTTTAAAGTAGCATTTGAAGAAGAAGTTTTTTGAAGCATTGCGAGTGGGAAGGAGAGGATTTAACATGAAAGAGAAGCGCGGATATTTTCGTTTCTTGCCAAATTGACCAGAGACAGAGGAAAAGAGAGAGAGAAATTCTAAATAGCAAAAAAAAAGAGCGATGTTGGAATCGTAAATAAAGGTTCTTTCATTTCAATTTGAATGTGGGTGGCTAAAAATACATAAGCGCTTTCAATTTGAAGAATCCCAACTATTTAATGCACTAGCGCCAGCGGTCAAAGTCAAGTTTCTCTCTACCCAAAAGCAACAGTCTGCACTTGTGACACTCTTTCTTGCCCAAAATCCAAACTCTTGGGGACATTTAATGGCCTCAGCAACATCTGGAAGCGGATTGTGTTCTCCAAAAGAATCCCCACTAAATGTTTGTCTAATTTAGCTAAGGAGAGGCTAAAAAAGACTGATCAAATAGCTCAAACTATAATTGTATACAAAATTTCTATTAATAATCTCACAGAGAGTCTCGCAAGATAACCGTTGTCTTCCTTATTTTTCCACCACCACCGCCAACAGTCATGATATGTGTTTCATTGATGCGCAATTTGTCGCGTTTATCAACGTATTTTTATTGTTTTTTCTTCTACGCAAATACTACAATTGTCTGGTCTCGTTGTGCACACTATAAAGGCAGATTATATGCAATTGAATCGCGTGGCATTTCTGTGCTTGCGATTTTATTTTTGATATAAGATTGTGGAATGTTTGCAGCAAAATAGGATCATCGATTTTGCCTTTGTTTTGGTGTCTGTTTCATGTTAAGAAACAGCTTGTGAGAATGTAATTAAATACAATCGAAGTGAAAAGGCATAAACTTTAAGTTGTGTGATTGCATTCTAAAAAAAAACAGAGTGTATGAAATTTAATGAGACAAATTCAAAACATCAACATTTATCCTCACATTTATCTCGGTAAGATTTCTGATGTTGCTATAAAGCTACGAGGATGAACTGCATGATAATTGAAATTTGGCCAAATGCCATATATTCCATTATTTTCGAGGTTAAATCTTCGATTAAGATTTATCTTTTTACATATTTCAACTAAATGCGCTCTTTTCAATTTAACACAAGTTTGACACAAGAAGTTTGTGCTTCTTAACAACTCGGCAAAGGTATTTTTTTATTTCTTATAAGGGGATAAGAAATTGATAGAATTGAAAAGCTCTTAGTTAATTCTTCCATTGCTGCTTTAGCGAATAGTTGCGACTGATGATGACTCAATATCTTTTCATGTTTCTCGTGGATTCGTTGTTTTTGCAATCCCTTCTCACTATGTCTATTAATAGACCTATCATATCACGAAGCAGTGGCTTTAGTTGAGTGTGAGCAAGTGAGAGACTGAGAGCGAAGACGAACTGAGTAAGATCAGGGATGACTGTTTCATCTGATAGTCCACAAGATGTATTTCCTTGTCTGTCTCTCGCGTGTTGATCTTCGGATGTTATTCATATTGCAGAAACTCACCTTTCCAGAACGGAATACTGATAAGATGTTGCTTCAGGATCTGTTGTTGTTTGATATGTTTATGGGTTGTGGAAAACAGAAGAAGAAGAAACCCAATTTAGTATGGATTACTAATTTATTCAGAGGCAAAGCTTGACTTTGACTAGTAATATTCTATCATCCAAACAACCAGACTTAATGTGGACGGATGAAGAATAAGATGAAAAAAAATAACGAGAGAAAAAGAAGAGATAACTAAATTGGCATAAATGAATTGCCTTTTGAGATGAGAACACATTTGTGATACTTTTTCTCTCTTTCTCACTCTCTCAAGTTCATTGTTCACGTATGAATCACTTTATACTGATTTTAGATACATTATGTATATCTTCCAAACACATTTCTTCCTTCGGCGCTCTTGTCTTCAGTGTCTCCTTACGTTTTGTGTATATTTTCAAAAAGCAAAGCACTATAAGCTTTGTGTCATCTGTCTCTCTGGGTTTCAAGGAGCGACAAAATATACACACACACATAAAATTTCTATATGACGATGGGAAAGTGACTGTAGTTATAACTTTAAACTGTAACTTTGCTCAACAATTTTCCCAGGAAAGTTTGATGACTTTTCTCCAAAAAAAGAGAGCGAAAGATTCCACCTTCTGAACTGAATTTTAATGTTGTACGATATATAAATTCTCCTTTTACTCCTTGAATTGTAGTATAAAATTCTGTGCTTTATGGATTTTTTGGCCAACAATAATATATGAAATATATATTAAAAATTTATCCGTCACATATGAAAAAAATCGATATTAATAACGAGAAAGCCTGAGAAATGTGACAATGTATTTTGAAGAGGAGGAAAATGAGATGAAAAGGCGAAAAATCACGTAATATTGACATCTTTGTGTTGAAGAAAAGAAGATGAAAGGGAAGAGGAAACACATTAATGGATATTGAGAAATTTAATTGTGAAAGTTCTTTTTTTTACTCCATTCCATGCTTTTCTGCGGTTGTGTAGAATCTATTAATAGGACTTGAGCGATTTATTGATATCTGCAGTTTAATGTATTATTGAAGAGGGGGGGAAAAGATGACCGGAAAAGAAGTGCGGCTTTTGACCCACAACGCCTTATCACACACTGAATTTAGCACAATTCTTGGGCTGTGGCTATAAATTAATCGTGCTGTAGTTGTTTTAAAATGTTCGCTCACATGTGCAAATTTTATTCTTAAAGTTGTGTCTTAGGTGTGAGAGATAAAGAAATTGACGTACAATTGCAAAAGTTAGAGGAGTGCAAAATTTGAACTCATCACCTTTTCGACTCTCTCATGTTAGTTGTCAAGTCACGTTCTTGTTGTATGTAGAAATTCAACACGAGTGCGGAATTATATAACGAGAATTGAGGCAAAATGTATGTAGATATGCCGAGTGATTATGAGAAGAGCTTAGAAATTCACTTTTTGTCAATCACAAAGAAGAGACAATTGTAAATTTTATTAAAAAAAAGCATTTTTGTGAAGAACAATAACATTGATTTTTCCTTAGGCTGAATGGGAGGTGGAATTTTTTTTCACTTTAAGCTCAATTAGATAACAATAATAAAATTGTAATTGCCTTTGGGTGAACATGTGTATGATGTTAATCCACATGACTTTACTTTATGACGTGAAATTTCTGGAAAAAGCACGTGGAGAAATGTATCTTCAATGAGCGACCGGCTTCTTGGCGTCGAATTGTAAATTGATTTGTCACTGATAAAAAGCACTTCTATTGGAGGGATTCATTGAGTTGATGTTTCACTGTGTAGCGATTATTATTAATAGTGTGTAGGTTTGTTTGATATATATATATACAGAAAATTGCTGAGATAAAAGAGGTGTGAATTCTATCTTTAGGGTATTTTCTTCATCTTCAACGGCAGACGATGAACTATTTTCTGCAATGCTCGAAAATCTCTCTCTTCTTGTGTTTTTCCCTCATAATCTCTCGTTCCGCGCATTGTACATAAATGTGAGCTATATAGCGCTGAAGAGTGTACATTTTGAGAGAGAGAGAGAGAGAAAAAAAAGGTGGGATGATTAGGAGTAATAACATACTTAACTTTCCCGGCATTATGTTCATTGGGCCGTGGACACTCATTTCCACGTCGAGTGGCGGCTGGCATCTTCTCTCCTCTCCGCATGTACATTTCTGGTCACGGACACATGGGAGCCACTTGAGTCAGACACATGAGCAATATTGTGCAAAGTAATGTGAAGTTGTGGCCTATCAACACTCCACTCCTTGGTGATTATAATGATTGCTGGTCACACGAAGCTCCCGTCAAACAAATTGCCACCCTGTCGCGCACTCAAATGGGGAAGAAGTTCATTCGCCCACCTTCCTTTTCTCTTTCTTTCTTTTTTTTTTAATCTTTTCATTAATGGATATGATAAAGAGTGTATGCAGAAAATGTGTGTTCGACGGTTTGAGAGTGCAGAAGGAAAAGGAGGAAAGAAAAAAATAACGTCCATTTAACTGAGATTTTATTATAATTACAAATGAATAGTTAAACACGTTTGTCATCGACACACACTCGCATCGTTGAAAGATCATTGACTGTTTTGCAGAAGTGAATGGTTTTGTGTGTCTCTTGAGATTTGAATTTCACTCGTTCACACATTTCACTATATATTGTTGTACAGCGCAAAAGAGAGAGAGAGAGAGAGAGAGAATTGCAACGATCGTAAATCAGAAAATGGCTTGTAAAATTTTGTGTCTAGCAAAAGATGGAGGAAGTGGCAATTTTATTTTCTCTCAGACTCACAATAATAATGACTGCAGTCGATGTTGTGCTTGAGAATTGCGACCAATTATGGATATTTATAATGAATTTGTCATCTGACATTATTATTATATTTGAGTCAGCAATCAATGTGGAAAAAAAAGAGTAATAATTACAACCAATGCGAGTCACCTAGAATGACAAACTTCCTCAAACTCGTGTCATAATATTTTCTGAAAAAAAATCAACTTAATATGCCTCGTGCTCAGCTTTTGCGTCTGTCCTCAACACTCAGCCACTCAAACAGTCTTGCTGCGTGTATTTATTTTACATTATAGAGAAATAAATAGTGTGGAAGGACACTTTGTGTAATATTTAGCGTTAATTCTTCTTCCTCGTTCCTCTTTTTTCTCTTCTTATGTGGTGTTTTT